TCTCAAGCAATTTTACGTTTGTAAACAGCATTATCAATTTTTGTGGTGCGACTATTATTCTGAATGTACTCAAGTAATAATGAGTGACCTTTAAGCAGCTCATTTCCTAGCTTTAGACGGGTTTCAAATAACTTGCGTATCTTACTTTGGAATTTTTCGTCCATGTTTTTCACAAATTGACAATGTTTTACGGATGCTCACCAAAGAGAAAACAATTAATAAAATGAGATACTGTTTTGATACGTAATTAAATTTGCATAGTTGACAAGATCGGGGAACTTGGTGTCTCAAAGCTTCTGCCTGAAGCCTATTTTTTATAGCTTTTCGAGCTTTGAGTAGTAATCGGTTCCGCTTCTTACGAGTCAAAGGATGTTAAGATTAGCGCTATAATGCCTTAGAAGGAGGAGAATCTTAAACTCAAGGTAAGGAGGCTGGTGAAGCTCTTTGTATTTCTCAATTAGTACCTGGTTAGAGTTAAAGTGTTTGATGACGTTCAGAACGAGAACACCTGTTGAAACTAAACTTTTCCGTTCCGTCTACAGTATACGATCGCACAAATATTTGTCCTATAACTTAATAACAAATGTATAATTTGATCATTACTCAGCTTGCGGTTTTTGTTGCTGCGGTGCCCACTTATCGAGTTATTGATGGCGTCGTGCCAAATTACAAGGTCACCGTTACGGTGCGACAAGTAGAGATGAAGGTAGTACTATATTTTTTCTGAGAGTCCCTAGCGTTAAAGTTCAAACTTAAACCTGGCTTTGTAAAGCAAGTATCCTTGACGCGCCTCTGGGACGGGGCGGGAAGTTTTCGGAGCGCGTGACCCAAGGAACTAGCTCGTAGAATGAACATCAAGCACTTAACGGACCTATACGACGGCTACGTTACGCTGAACTACCAATGGGGTTTGAAAATTAAGTAGGTCGGTTGAACTCAAACAACACACACTGAGTAAACCTAAGGATGAAAGAATTCAACTTAACTCACTTAATATAACCGTACCTGACCACTTAACATTACTGTCACGCAGCGAAATCAAAAATCGGACGGGCTGAAACGGCTTTGATTCACTTGAAGCGAAATGGTTTTCAGTTTCACCAAAGGTGGGTGGGGGATCAGGCAAATTGGTTAAGTTCCAACAACACACGCGGAAAAAAACCTGAGAATGAAAAAACTCAACTTAATTTGCCTGATATTTAGCTACCAGACCACTTAACATAAGGTTGGTGTCATATTACAGCACAGTTTCGCAGAATTCTGGGACGTTTTCAGGATTTTTTTTGCCATTTTTTACTTTTTTTTACAAAATTTTTCGAAAAATTTTGATCAGCAGGTTCGAGTCATAAACAAGTCCAAAAAACTAGTCCAATACCTCTTATTTATATTCCGATTTCACGGATTAATTTTCCGTTCACATATATCCAAAAGTTTTTGGTATCGAGAAAAAATGTCAAGTAAATTGTCTAAGAATCGATTGTAAGATATTTCAGTTCAACGGAACTGTCCAAAAGTTTTGAGTATCTAGAAAAATTACCGGGTGCTAGCTTGCGGGAAAATTTTTAACTTGTATGACATCGTATATAAATTTATAGCACAGATGGAAAGTTTTTTAAAAAATTGGAACCTTCTTACACATTTAATTGGAGATTGGGCGGTCACCGGTTTCGTCAGAGCTGTTGTTCATCAATCACTTAGACCAGTCCACACAAAACTTCTGTTGTTGACATCCTGAACTTCTGTTGGTGACCTCCTGTCTGTTTTCTTGGATACCTGAAAAGGCTTCCGTTTTAGCCAGATTCGGTTGTCTCCGTTTCAGCAGTTTGAAGTCCCGTCAGATTCGTGTTTCAGCAGTTTGAAGTCCCGTCAAATTCGGGTTTTAGCAGTTTGAAGTCCTGCCAAACTCGTGTTGTAGCTGTTTGAAAATCAGAGTTTTCCGTTTTGCAGTTTGAAGTCATGCTAAGCTGTAGATGAGTTCAGTTATGCCAACTGATAGTGAGTTCTGTTCTCTTTCAAACAACTGCTGTGATATTGAATGATAGCCGAAGCACCTGGTTTGTGATATTGAATTCATATGTCCTCCGCTGGTTCCTGGTGGCGACGACCGCAGCTGCAGAGGTGCCTTATGGGGCGCCAAAATGTGCCCGCTCTAACCTCCAAACAAAAATATTTGAATCCAAATCCGTAAATTAATAAGAGATATTTCTCGGTAAATAACTCAGGCAATTGATAAATTTCGGCGTTTTCTATCGATCATAACATCATATAACTTTTTATCATCTGCTCCGAAAACGGTACAAATCGGCGCAAGCTAGCCACAAAAACCGGTAATAATGTCCTTGAGACAAATTGCTCTTTTTGACGGTCAGCCTAAATCAAGGCTGAACCGAATTAGAACCAAAAACTGTTAAAATAGGATATAAAACACTTTTTAGTATTATAATACATGGGCAGGTGGGGGACACGAGCCTACGTCATGTGAGGCTACTGCTGCTACTATGTCTAGCTTTTGTCTTAATCCGTTTATACTCAGTTTTTTTATTTGCGTTGCAACAAGAGGTCTGTTTTTTAGTTGTGAATTTTTTTAAAAACAAATATTTAAATAAAGGATAAAATGTAATGAGGGTTAACCTCGATTGCTTATCAAACAATTCCTTGAAAGAACAATGCATATCTTATTGCGAACAAAATCCAAAGTATAATACCAAATTTTCAGGTAAAAGTTTTTTAGTCGCAAAATCAAATTTTAGTCTCTATTAAGCTTTTTTTAAATGCATGCAAAAAATTGATATTTTGTTTATCAGTTAGTCCAGTATTCTTCATACAAAAAAAAACAAATTTGACTCAAAATGTTTAATGAACTTAAATTGAAGGATATATTGAAATTGTTAAAAAAACGCAGGCCACAAAATTGGACATTTTTTTGACTAAAAAACGTCTAACCAATTACATATGCTAGTCCTGAGAGAATCAAGAAAAACAAAGTGAACAATTATCTAATAGGATAACTACCGCAATCTGTGAGATTTTTTCTGTTTTGCCAATGAAAATTCTTCTGTTTTGAAAAAGTTTCTACGAATATCATAACTGTTCTTGTCATTTTTTTTCTTTTCCATTTCGGAATTTGGATATTTTCTAACAATTATTGACAAGTGCAAGAATCACAAAAAAAATCAAATCTTTTATATTTTATTTTAAGCTTTTTCATCGAAATGAACACTAAATAAGATCAGTATTGCATTTCCTACTGGAGTTTAGGACATAGAAGTCGCTTGATCTTCTTACTTATTCTGTCCAAAGCTCTTCATTTTCCAATTTTGCAATTTTCTATGAATGAATTCATTATTCAAGGTATAAAAAAAACTGATCGCACTGATTGGTGATTGGTTAGTACAAACGAGTTCACTTAACTATTTATCTAACTATATCTTACCAGGCCAAACTCTGAGCAAATGTGTTGTTGAGCAAACATTGTTTCCTGTAGCTCTTTTCTGGTCTCGGTAAAACTCTGCAGCCTAATTGAAATAGTTTTTAAAAATTTACCTAACGTTGTTGTGGTATTACAAATACTACATGAACAAAAAATTAGATTGAAATTTTTCAGTTAAAATTTTTCAATACTTTCAAAACTAGCCCATATTTTTTCATTCTTGCAAAATTGGATTCCTATTAGAATATCCAATAATTGTTCACGGACTGTTTTATCGGATATCAAAAAGAAAGTGTGTGGCCATACAAGCGGGCCACTTAAATTGACCAGCCTTGAAAAACAAACATTCTAGCGATAAGCCCCCCGTCTTTTTCCAGCCTAGAAAAACAACACAAAGAAATAGAACACCTATAAATCAAAAACTGAATCAATGAAATTTTGTATAAACTACAAAAATTAGAGCAATGAAAACTTTCCAAAGACCGGAAAGTGAAACAAATATCCAATGAAACAAAGCCTATGAAGATTAAAACTGAAATATAAAAGTATTTTGAAGCGTTCTTGCATTTAAATTAGACCGAGCTAAAATCTTCTTTATTTTTCATTCCCAATCTCAATTCCACTCGCTCATTCGAGTAAACACTTTCCGGGAAAATTTTTATGTTTTATTTATTTCTTTTTGTTTCGTTTTTTAAATTAATTTTACTAGGATAAGATTTAAGAAATTTGATGAGTTCCTGGAAAAAAAGCAGCAACACGAATCTAGAAGAACTGATGACCCAATATTCTGAGAGACAATAAATGAACAAATCAATCAGCAATCTAGACGCAGCCTACAGGCGAAAGAAGTGTTAATTTAAATGTAAAAACTAGGTATTAATCCCATCCTTTTTGATACTAACGACAGTGGTTCATTAATTTTTTGAATCATTTATATTTAACTATACATTATTTAAATTCATACTTTTTTTTTTACTTTTTTTTGCTTCTACTATATATTTTCTAAATACATTTGATGATCTTAGGTGAGATTTATAACTTAGGCTAGATTACTAAGCAATCAAGCAGCAATGCGCGCTTGCTTAGTAAAATCTCTGTGACCAATTCGGCTTTTTTATAATGCGACTTAAAATTATGAACAAAACGAGTTAATTCTATCCAATCAGATCAAAGCAAAATACTATCATTTCAAAATGTTGAAAAATTGATAATTCGGCGGAATAAGTAATCAGACCCAAATAGATCTGCTGACGCGCCTTTTCAAATAAATTTAAAAAGACTTTAGTATCGTTTGGGAGGATTCAAATCTTTTTCAGGCTGCTAAAATTGATTCTAATATTTGGGGATAGATCAACTTTATTTCAATTCACATGTTTAATCGATTTGGGTCAATAAAGTTTTTTGTCTCCTTGCGGGCAATTAAACTAGTTTAAAAAATGAACAACTTGAAAGGGAAACACTTTAAATTCCAACATGAATTCAAAAATACAATCGAAGAATACACAAATACAATTTTCAAGATACAATTTAGATTCATTGAATACAATTATAAATTACATTGATCATAATTCTTTTAGATTAACGGGATTACAGACTGTCTTCAAATAATTTTCAAAAGTTTTTGCTACAAATAAGAATAGAGATTGGCAAAGAGTTAATTTTTTTGCTACTGCTGCTTTTAGTAGTCATACTTTTGCCAAAATATTCAATATGATTCGATTCTCTCTTCTAATACAATGGTGTAATTGTAATTGTTATTTGTCAATGGAACAGATTTTGGTTTGATGGCTTATTTTTTTTGCTACATATACTATCTGTTTTACAAAGTTGTATGCTTTTGTTTACAATTTTTTTGGAACGTTTTAAACAATTTCTAGGCTATTCATAGTCAATAATCTTCGTTCAAATTCTGGTATCCGTCATTTCTCTGATAGCCCCCCGTTTTGCCCCATGAAGTATTGGCCATCGCTCCTCCGCCCCCGATGCCAGCGAGGGACCCCCCTTCGCCCTTGTCGGAGCAGAGGATGTCCCCATTCTTCAGAATGCTCTTCATTTCATCTGACCCGGTCGGAGGTTGTTTCAAGTAATACAACAGGGGTGCAAACAAGATGTTAATGACACCTATCGTACGCACCAACCTGAAAATACGAATCAACTTACAGGCTCACCAATAAAAGTTATGTTCATGGACGAAGGACTAAAATGCGATAAAAGATTTCAACCAATCAACGTCCTTTAAAGCTGTGATATTTACTTGGCTTTTTACTTGTACATTTTACTTCTACTATTTTGAAAAAATTTTATATTTTTGTTCCTTTTATTTTTATTTTATTATTTATTGCTTTATTACTTTTATGATTTTTTATAATTTGAATGAGGAAAAATATAAAAATCCGCGTATGTTATCAAAAATAAACCAAAAAAGGTACGTTAGTATATTTGTTTCAGACACCAATTCTAAAAGTGTAAATTTATAATTTTTTGTCATTACTTTGGTTTATCTCGGAGCCTAAGCATATTTAGGGGAGGAGATGGGGGGGGGGGGGGCGAGTGGAGTATAACAGAATGTGAGTTAGTCAGTTAGTGATTTTGTGTTAATAATAGTTACCAGGGGAACCCAATGCCCTCCACGATGTATCCACTGAGAGCGGGTCCCACAGCATAGCCCACGCAGAAGGCCACGTCAGCTATGGCATACACACTCCCATACACCGACACGTATCTGCAAATACATTTGTAAAGAACAAATGAACAAATACGTTTGTTCAGTTAAGACTTCATTTGTTTCGATATGACTAACAGTTATATCGACTACGAAAGAAAAAATACTATTGTTCGAATAAAAATTTATTTGTTTTCGATTAGACTGCAGTTTAGTAATATCGACTACGAATAGAGGAGGAGCTTTGTATTCAGGGGCTTTTTTACCATTACTTTTTCTGTCTACCCAAAATCTAGGCCTACAAATGAACGCAGATAGAGTTGAGTGGAACTAGAATGGGAAAACCGGTTTTACATTTTTGTTTGTTGTACTTTTGTCCAATTTACAGCAAGTAAAGAGAGCGAGTAGAGCAAAATCTGTCAATTAAGTTGATAACCACCGAGTATTCAGCTGAGAAAAGCAGGTTTCCGAGCATTTTTGTAGCGTTGGTACGGTACTGAATAAAAAAAAATTTAAACGAATCTGAAAAATGTTTTTTTGTTGTTTTATATTTTGTTACGAAAAGTGTAATTCTTTGAGACCACTTTCTAAGTTTTATGGAAGTTACTACTTCATCCCCTTGTGTGCACAAAAACTTGAAAAGAGTCGGAAAAAATGCAAAACAATGTCAAATTTTTTTCAAGAGTATTTGCAAGAGTAGCTAGTTCTGCTTTAACTCGCAATTTTTCTTTGATGTGGATCTCATGACAGCTTATTTTTTTTGCAACTGAAATCTTTCAAAAAAACCATCCAAGAAAGCAGCTTTCAAAAGCATATAAAAAAAGTTCAGAAAATTAGTTCATGCCACTTAAAACACCCGGTTGAAAAAAGCTAGTCATACAATTCTCGTACAATTTCTCATGCATTCCATACGTTTGAAAACTGCATAAAAGTTCACTGATTTGCATTTTTAATAAAAGAGAATTGGAATACAAGCAGTTTTCATTGAATTGAATGTTATGACTAGCAAAATCAGCTACCACAAATTACCATCGGAAAAAAATTGGGTGATTTATCAAATTAAATCCCTTGCAGTCGTGACTCAAAAGACATTACAAAACTTCAAGCAATTTTTCCCAGTGTCGAGATTTGAAAATTTTAGTTTTTCGTTTCAATTCGAGCGAAAAAAGCGAGCAAAGAGGCTTAGAATAGCTTCTTATTTTAATGGTTCAAAAGCCTACAATAGCTAAATTTAAAGGCAAAAACTAAGTTTTACTCAAATAACGTTAATTTTTTGAGTGTTCAGCGCTTTTTCGTAATTTATCTATAAGGTTAGTTTTTTTCGTTTTTCTAGTCATTTTCTACAAAAATTGCTTTTCAATTTGTTTATTTTTCTGTAATTGTCGAAGATGTCTAGTCTGTACTTTTTCGTTCAGCTCCTTTTCTGCCGAAAACAACAATAAGTTGAACAAAAAGCTGAGCTTGGCACCACTTGCGATTCAAAAATAAATGACTATGAATAAATTCAAAAGAAAAAAAATGCAAAAAGCCTAAAATACGCGGAAAAATTACCTGCACTAGTAAAAGCTTCACAAAAAGCTTTTTGAATGCTAAAAAGAATACGAAATTTCAAAAAATTCCTTTTTGCGCGAACTGTCAGCAAAAATAAGCAGACACAATAATCTAAATTGGCCGGAAACTTTTAATTTTCAAAGAATCAAGTCCGAACTGGAATCGAACACCTGGGCTTTGTCGTCTCAATCAAGGGTGTTTTTGCAACTTGGATGAAAGCTGAAAATTCAAAACAATCGGGCTTCGGGAATCCAGCCGACAGAATAGTCAGACGGACGATAGTCCGAAAAAACGCAAAAATAAAGTTTGCAGAAAACAGGTCCGAGTCGGATTTGAATCACAGGCCTTTGCCGTCTCAAGCAAGCAGGTGGGTTACCTCTACGCCACATGCACCGGATGGTTAACTGATATTGAAGTTATAATCAGAAACCATGCATTCGAAATAAACTATAAATTATAAAAAAAATAATAAAATGAAAAGTCGCTTAAGGTTTTTTCTCTTCAAATTGAAAATTTTAGGTGAATGAAAAAACATGTCATCGTGTTACTTTATTCAAGTTAAGTTTAATAATTAATTTAAAAAAATTGCTGGAAAAATATCACTCGGAAAATAAAACGATACAAATTGGGGCGAAATCAATCAAACCTACAAAAAACCTACAGCTGAAATTCTTTTCACCAGTAGATCCAATTATGGATTGACTCTAGGCACACCAACTTGAGACGTTAAACGTGCAGCGTGCTGAGAAAGGAGATCATGAAATTAGAGATCATCTTAAGAACAAAGTTCTTAAACGGGAATAAGTCTAGTACCCGATTGCAACATGCTCACTTATCAGAAGGGTACAGATTATGGTCGGAACATTCTCTGTTACTTGAAGATTAACGGGTTATTTTGTGGCAATTGAGTTTCGTGCTTTGAATTTTGTTCACGGTAATTCTGGATGATAAATACCCATATATTAGAACGATATTTAAAGTTTCAAAGGGAAACTAAATTATGAGATCATGTGATGTCATGAAGTGAAGTTTAGCTTTGAAGCACGGGTTTGAAAAATCACTCAATTTTTGACATTATGCTTTATTTTTTTTCCAATTGTAAAATGTCTACTCTTTTAGAACAAGCGAAGTTATTTTTCTACATTTTTTGAGAAACTGAACTACGTTATACACTGAAAATTATAGTTTGCCAGCATTCGGAGTACAGAAGAAAAACATTTGATTACAAGTTTATGATGGCAGTTTGAGCTTTTTTGTAAAGACAATTCGAATGGAAATGTATGACTAGTGTCTTTGGTGTTTGACAGAAAATCCGTAATTTAAAGTTGAACCCAAAATCAAGGCGTAGGCTTACAATACATTTTTGCAAAAACCTAGGTCAAAAATTAGAAATGTTTCATTCAAAAGTGTTAACCATTTTTTGCTCTGGTTGCTGAAGAAAAATGGACCACAGAGTTTGTTTCACAAAAAAATTAAAGGAGAGGTGAAATAGCGATGCTAGATGCCACTCCATCGAACAATTGGTGGTTTAAGGACCACCACGATGCGTGCTCATTGCCTCAGGGTGACACAGCTCAAAAAGATTACAAAAAGTTGCATGTAGCTCTTGGGTAAGGACAATTCGTGCAGGTTCTCTCAACAGCGACTATTTTTAATGAGAGAACCTGTACCTAGTGACTGTTGTAATTCAGATCTAAAACAATATTTTTCAGATCCAAATTTCAGGTCTGAAATGGGTTGTAAACTGTTAAAATAAAGCTTGGGTTTTTTAAAAATGGGTTATTTCAGATGTAAAATTTTGTTTTCTTGGTTAATTCAGACCTGAAGATATCTATTTTAGATCTAAATTTAGATCTGAAAATTGGTAATCATGGTTTTTTCTGATCTGAAAAAAAATCAAACATTCTGAGACAAATTGTCGCTGTTTTGCTATTTTAGGTTATTTTTTACTTTATAGCTTCTGCTTGCTAAAACTCTAATTTGAGATTACTGAAATGTGTTTCCTAAAACATGAGATAAGCGTCGGAAAAGCATAAGTAGCGCAAGAATTTTAAAAATCGTATGTCTTAAGCAAATTTTGAAATTTTTTTGAAATGGTTGAACAAATTTGGTTTTTAAAAAAATCTAATAATTCGGAAAGTTTTTCTTACCATTATTTAATCTAAATATACTTTTATTTGTAAAAACAGCATAAAAACAAATACTCAATTGTTTGCTGTAAATTCAAACAATATATTTAAACAAAGGGTTTCTCAGATCTGAATATTTATTTTTCAAAGTCATTCAAGGTCTGAAATTTTTGTATTCATGGCAAAGATCTACAACAAAAACAAAATTCAGATTTTAAAATCAGGAAATCCACTGGGCACGGGGAATAGCTCATAATGCACTTTCCATCGTTAGAAATTTTTTGATTTTTCTCAATTTTTTTCATGGACTCAAATTTGTCAAAAACTTCGATTAGCAATGTTCTGTTCAATCTTAACGATATCTTGTGACACAATTAGTTTGATGGAGAGGATTAAAGTCCCTCACCTGAGGTCGACGAGGTATCCCATCATCGGCATCATAGAAGCATCCACCATACCTGCAAACGAGTCATTCATCATTGAGAAAGTCCTTTTGTGGGAAAGTCACTATCACAGAGAGGATAAAACATCAACACTAATAACAACACAATTGTTAAACTTACATAAAAATTTAAAAATACATTTTTTAATGAAAACACCATTTTTGCCCCCCACCCGGGTTGAAGTTGCATTGCAATTCAGAAATGTATCATTGTTGCTGCATTGTTTTGCCATGCTTCAGTGATCTACCTGCAGAAATAAATGGATTTTTTCTGTTTTAAATATGTTCATGCTTTTACCCTTAATTATTTTAAAACATCGATGTGACATCTATTTTATTTAATGTATAGATTATTGTATGTGACATCAACTCGCAAGCTCTGCACAATTGATGGCAGTAAAATCAAAATTGGTCTGTTTAAAAGCCGAAAAGCGCATCCGAAAAATTCCGGTATATTTTTGCATCCGCGATTTTGTTAAGACTGCTAAAAAGCTTAAAAGAGTTTCAAGCAAAACTTCAAGAGCTGAAAAATAATGTTTCCAGCGGTAATTGATTTTTATGGCTATGATTCATCAATACAAAAAAAATAGCTTCTAAATATTACTGAAGACATTTGCAAGAAACACTTACAAAACATGAACCCGTAAAAATACCCTTCCCTTCACGGTAATATTCAAAAATACATATTTTCAAAAAAAAAATCTGCGAAAATGATTCAATGACAAAAATTCTCGGGCAATTTCCACATATTTCACCGTGAATTGGCCAAATGATTTACTTGGTTTTACTCAAGGAACCGCGGATAATAATTCAAAAACATCGAAACGGAACGACTAGATATGATGTATAAAAGGCACGATTCATCGTTTCATTCCCTCCCAACATTGTCAATTATTCAAGAGTAAAAAGTTCATTAAGCTCCATCTATAAACTATTCTATAGCAGAGAAAGGCAATTCAGAATCTTCAATTCTACAGCTATTTTTTCTATTTTACCGATAGCAAAGCCCAGTCCGAATCCGGGTATGACTAGCCCGTTCATGGAAGTGGCGAACGGGTACTGAAACACAGGTGTATACTGGTTAGTTACTTAGTTAGTAGTCTGGTTATGACGTACCGATGGCGAAGCCCAGTCCCATCATGGGAAGTGTGAGAATACCTTCGCCGTGCGGATAGGGCACCTAAAAATATTAATTAGAGAAACTAAACCGAAAATCGGTTTCGTAGCAAAAGCAGACATGCCATAAAGTAGACACAACCTAAGCCACTCAGAGTAGAGAAAGAAAATACATCGTACGTTTGTTTTCTTATCTCAATTCTGATTGGCTTACTTTTTGACCGCACTCCATGAAAATCTTTGAGAAATTGAAATCTGTGAGGAAACCCTTGGAAAACATAACCAAAATCTTCTTATATTTTTTGAGAATCAATCTTAGAACAATCATGGAAATACAAAAAGCACTCTTAAAACACCAAAACTCATTTAATTCAACCAAAAGTTTCTCCGCGCAAACAAAATTTGAGGAATATGCCACAAATTGTGTTCCAGGTTCTTTTTACATATGATACTTAATGCTCTTTTTATACGCTGTGAAACCTTCGGTGAACCTTGAACTTTGGGAGAAGCCTCAACTGCTGATGGAAAAAAGATACTCAATGACATGTTATTCTTTTTGCGGTACTTTTTTGCGTTTGTTTTTTCTATTGGCGTTTTTAAAGCTACACTCCTGAAATCAAATTGACTCTTAACTACAGAGTCTTGCCAAAAACTCTTATTTCAAGCTAAAGTTTCCTGATTTTGGGTTTATGCATCAGTTTGTTCTATTTCTCCTATTTTACCGGCAATCAATTTCAAAAGTTTATCCTCAAGTAAAAAACCATTTTTCACTGAACTTACAAATTGTTCATATTTTATACAGATAATTCACACTTAATCAGATAATTCACAAAAATCTATTTACGGTGGCCCATTCATTTACATCAATTGATTTAGAATGGATTCAAACAGACATTTACAGCAAAAAAAAACGATTTTGTTTCCTAAAAAGCCAATTTAAATCGATTTAGAAGCCATCAAAATCTCAAAATGATTGATAAATTTATTTTGGCTTTTGTTTCTTTTCCTCATCCAAAATCTTCATTAGAGCTACAGAGAGCTAGAGTTACTCAAGTAGAGTTTTTTTCACAAACTATTGAGTTTCAGATAAACCATTTTGATTTTTGCGGTGATGAAAAAAATAAATTTGTGAGAAAAAGTGTTAAAATTGTGTCAAATAGAGTTATAATTATCAACGTTTCAAGTTGGTAGTTTTGTTAAGCAAATGAACATAAAATCCAAAAACTCAAAATGGAACAAATTATTTTTATCAATTTATACATTTACATGTTAGTCATGTTTTTTGTTTTTTTTTCAGGCCAAACATCAACACCAAAATTCAATTTAAAAGCATATGTGAAAATTTTATTTTGATATATTTCTATTGCTTGATGGCCGAGAAAAACTGAATAATATTTGTCTTAAATCTGTAAAAAGGAAGTGTCGTATTGAGTAATTTAGTTCATTTCCAAAGCTGTCAATCAAATGTTCACTATTGGTGCTAGACTAATTGATTAGCAGGTGTTTGTCCTTGGATCTGTCTGTCACCCTTGGATATTGTTTCTAACCACTCTTGATGCTAACTTTGCAAGATTAAGTTACTGTATTATTATCTCGGAATTAACAATTGCTCGACGACAGTTTTACTTCCTCGACATGGCGCAGCCAGCAGGATTAGGTGGGGGAAAGAATCCACTGGGCATCACGGGATTTTGGCCAGCAAAATGCACGGAACCGCCAATGATGTGGGAATTCTGGATCAACAGATTCCAATGGGGAATGGTCGCCAAACACTCGCTAAATCCAATGAATTTTTACTTCGCCGCGAATCTCACAGCCGCACAAATTACTGACTTGCCCGCGGAAGTAGACGGGAAAAATCGGCGGGAATCGGAAATGGTGTTAATTTCGAACCTGTACTTGTGTTTGGGGGAGAAGGGGCAGGATGAACTGCACAAACGACGACCACACCTGGACCTTCAGACAATTCGGTACCCACGGATGATAGACGCGCTGGAAGCGGAATTCAAGAAAGAAAGGAACGAAACATATGAAACGTACCAACTCCTTTCTCGTAAGCAGTTTATAAATGAAAGTCTTGAGCAATTCCATTCCGTACTGAGCGGATTGGCAGCGCGGTGCAATTTTGGAGCACTAGAGGACCGAATATTAAGAGACGTATTCATCGTTAATATGAACAATCGGGATGCACAAAAAGAACTCTGCAGATCGACAAAAACACCTGAGGAGGTGTACCGGATAGCTCTCTCGTACGAAAGGGGTAGCAAGTATGCATCCTCATACGTTGCCACGGGACCAGCGGGGACCCCTGGATCATCATCGGGAGGAATCCAAATAAAATCGGAACCAGTTGGAATAATCCGGGGAGGTTACCGGAACAACCGTTCAAGGGGCCGGGGCTCTTACCAAGGCCGAGGATCATATCGAGGAAGAAATCCCCTAAATAACAACAAATGTTATAATTGCGATCAGCAAAACTTCACCAGGGAACATTTGGACAGATGCCCAGCAAAAGGGGTTACATGCAATTTTTGCCATAAAATAGGCCATTTCGAAAGAACCTGCAGGGGTAAACGTGGAAACCAACGAGGACAGGGAGCCGTAGGAATGATACGGGAGAATGTGGACGATCATCAACTAGAAAACTCTGCTGACGAAGAAACATCACAACACGCAAGTTCCATTGGATGGGTCACGAAGAATCCAGTGGTGCACTCGTGGGACTCCAGCAGTTCTGACGGGGACTATATGGTTATGGCCATAAAACGGAGAGGTGTGACAGAATTGAAAGTTGCTGGGGCACAATTGCCGATCAAAGTCAATGGAAAACCTACTCGCGTGTGGATCGATAGCGGATCCCCAATCTCAATCTTTACGATCGGGGAATTACGGAAAACATTGGGAACATCAGGAGTAAAACTGGACAATCTGATGGAGGAGGATAATGCTTTTCGGGATTATGGAAACAATCCCCTACAGATGATTGGAACAATGGCAGTAACAATCCAATCCAACGGTTGGAAGATCCAGGCAAGGATAAAAGTGATCGGGGGGAACCGACCATCAATAATTGGAAGGGATCTGATGCCCCAACTAGGACTCCAGTTGGTGCAGCAAACACCGGGGGACCAAATCATGTCCATTGGAGAGGGCAGTCAAGACGCACTGGAACTAGAGGAACCAGAGGGGGAGTTGGATTCGTGGCAAACGTACTTCAGTAAGCAGTTTTCAAATCTTTTTAGCAGGGTAGGGAAAATAAGAAACTACAAAGTAGCAGCTGAATTTTTTGAAAACCTCACCCCAGTACAGCAGAAAGGGCGTCGAGTCCCGATTTCGTTGCAAGAAAAAGTGGATGCGGAAATTGACAAATTATTGAAACAGGGTCATATCGAAAAATTATCTGAATGCTCGGACAAATATTTTGTGTCCCCAATAGTAATAACCGTAAAGAAGGATGGATCGGTAAAACTGGCACTAGAGTCGAGGGAACTAAATAAACAAGTGCATAAGAATAAATACCAGATGCCGAATATCGAGGAACTAATGGACACGGTTGGGCAAACGATTAGCGAAAAAAAACAGGGAGACGTATATTTCACAACAATGGATTTAACATACGCCTATGGCCAATTGCCATTAAATGCGGAGACGAGCGTCCAGTGCAATTTTTCGCTCATTGGAGGTCGTTCGACGGGTACATACCGGTTCAAAACCGGATTCTATGGCCTCACTACAATGCCCGCGGAATTCCAACGCGCAATGGATTGTATACTCGCCGAATACCCGCAAGCGCATGCGTTTATCGATGACATTTTGGTCGTAACCAAGGGAACAGCAATAGACCACATAGCAACGGTGGAGAAAATTTTAAAGAAACTGGATCGGGAAAATATGTCTTTAAAATTGACAAAATGCAAATTCGCCCAACGAGAATGCGAATGGCTAGGACATAAAATAACTCCGACTGGAATTACTCCATTGGTTAGAAAAACAGAACCAATAGAAGCACTAACGCCGCCACGGACTTTGTCGCAATTAAAATCGTTTATGGGGTCGATACATAGTTTGCATAAGTATCTGCCGGCGCTGGCCGAATCATCGGCACCGCTGCGGCCCCTATTAAGCAAAAATAACGAATACATTTGGACACCTGAATGTCAGAACGCGTTCGAAAATCTAAAAAAACAAGTTTCAAACATTGTTGAATTACGGCACTTTGATATCCACAAGGACATTCGCATAGTGTGCGATGCAAGCCATAATGGGCTCGGCGCGGTGTTGGAACAGTTGGGAACTGAAGGATGGCGCCCAATTTCGTTCGCGTCGCGATATCTTAACGAGGCGGAAAAGAAATACACAACAAACGAATTGGAAATGTTGGCAGTTGTGTGGGGGGCTGAATACTTTCGAAATTACATACTGGGCCGAAGTTTTTTGATCATTACCGATCATAAAGCCCTGATATCCCTTTTGAACGGTAATAACAAGAAAAATAAAAACGATGTTTAGTCGTTTAACCCGCTGGTTAGATCGACTAATTCCCTTTGATTTTCAAATGAGCATAAACCGGGGGCTAAAATTGGTTTGGCGGACTATTTATCACGGCATCCAAGTAAAGAAGCAACGCCAATTAGTACGTATGATAATATGTTCACGGTGGCAAAGATCAACCTAATTCGCACCGCGCTTGGCTTTAATACATCCAGGGGACCTAATACATCCAAGGGACAAAGTTGTACAAGCGAATAGAAAGGCCTTCTATAAATAGACTGGAAGTTTCGTCATATAACGATTCGGTAGAGGGCGGAAAAACATGTAAGCGGGAAATCAACCAATCAGATGCAACCACGTGGTTTAAACCGACGGCCAAGCGACATGCGCGCTGGATTAGTTGGGGCTATTATTCATTCAGAACACAGTTGGTTCAAAATTATCCAATTCCAATCTTCAAAATCAGAATATTCTTAAATCCAGCCCTCAGAATTTTAAACCGACTAACAACATGGACCAAAACATGCGCAAATGGCAGAAAATTTCTCAAACAGCATCCAAGCCTAAAGTAGTAGTAGCGACGAAATCGAAGAATTGCCCCCAAATGTATCACTAGAAGGCCATTACCAAAGAGACAAGATCGATACGCACAAATACAACTCTCTCGTTACCCTCGGAATTCAAAGGAGAAACAGTGCCACCAGTGGACCCAAACCTTGTATGTATGTCAATTATCCCGCGAAACTGTAAGATCGTTAATAAAACTACTGCATTACCTGACCTGTTTAACTTAAAATTCATAGAATCAAATTATGTATCGGACCCCCAACTGAGCGCTATTCGCGATCTCATTGTTACACAAGACCCGGAAATACATGAAAAAGTTACTCGAATGAGCCGCTATCACGCTCAATTCGTCAATGATTTCTCAGTGAAGGAAAATGTAGTTTGGATGGACGATAAATTAGCAATCCCAATTAACCTCCAGTCAGCAATCAATAACAGAATACACGCGTACCATCACGGGAAGTCAAATATGTTCGATGCCGCAAAGGACGTCTGGGATCCCTATATCTACCGCTCAATAGCCTCCATTGCCGAGGGGTGCCCTGAATGTACTGCAGCCGGTAAGAACTTAAAGACGCTAATAAGTAAAAATCAACTGGGATCTGTACCAGAACCAAAAGAACCGAATGAATCTGTCCAATTAGATTTTTGGGGCCCCATTAATTACTTAAATGAATCCTCTAAATATGTGCTCGTAGCGGTCGACCGGTTCTCTCGTTGGCCATCGGCAATGATCTGTGGAAATAATCGTTCGGACAAAATATTGAAATTCTTGAAGAGTTATATATCAAACCACGGGGTGCCACGGAAAATCCATATCGATCAGGGAACTAATTTCATGTCAAATGCGGTCAAAGCTTTTTGTAATGGGGAAGGCATTGAAATCATTAAATCACCTGTAAACGACCATCGGGCAACCGGGTGTGTCGAGCGTACTATTGGAAGTCTTAAGAATTCAATCCTTACTTTCGCTCACGAAAAAAATCCTGAACCCTTGGAGAAAATGGTCGAACGGGCCCTTGGTGCTCTCAGATTCTCAAAAAACTCAACACTTAGAATTTCGCCTTTTGAAGCTCATCATGGTAGAGAAGCAAACACCGTTTTACGGAATCTTACTAAAAAACCATCGCTGCAGAATCTGGATTGGTCACGGGTACTAAAAACGAAAAATGCTTGTTTAGATAACGACGATCCTAGTGTGCAAGATATGCCCCATCCAGCCGACACAAACTGGGGTGTACGATCAGATCTCGACTATGACATTAAAAACAGAACTCATGCACGACGCCTTACTGTGGATCAAGCTGGGAATCAGGACGACGAACCGTCAATACGAAAAAGCTCAAATCCCGCAGGACAACCGGGACCATCCGGATCATTGTTTCAGCGCACTGGAAACAAAAACTTAAAAAGGTATAGACCAGTTCATTCTAAAATTAGATCTGAGAGTGCACATACACTGACGTTAGATAATGGAGTTGTGCTTAGGAAATCGGGAGTGGCCACGAAACCCATACCGAAGAAAAAATCAAGAACCGCAGCCAAATCCGTACTACCGGTACCAGTGATCGAAGCGAACAAACGGGCTACTCAAACAACACTACCACCGCCAACCCCGCGCGACGTGAAGGAACGATGGACCAAGCGGACTGCGGAAAAGAATCGAAAGAGGACCGGGCGCCGATTCGAAGAAAATTACTCTGAATCGGAGGACAGTGAGGATCTACCGATTATCTCGGTAAAACGTACTCCACAACAAGTAACGACCACTCCGGAAGCACAAGTAGAACGCTCAGCAACAGCAATACCAGAGGCTGAAGCTGAAACCGACCAGGACACCATTCCGGCACTAGGCGGCGAGTTGGATGCTCCAAATCCAGGGGTGCAAGCAACGGAGAATCCAGGGGTGAAAGACCCAGAAAACCCGAAAACCACCGGCAAGAAAAAGGGAGCCTCATCCAGGAAAGCTCGGCTGGTCTCTTACAGTAGCCAGGGGGACAGCCAAGACGAGACATCATCCACAACGTCTAGAAGAAGTGGGCGGAAAAGAACGGCGGTCACCAAAATGGGGGGCGTAATGATCGACTTTATCAATCAGAACAAGGAAGGGAAAAATTGATCGTCGAATCCTTTAAACTTCAAACTTTGTTAAACTGTTCTAACCCAGGGAGAGGGTGAGTCATTACTGGCTTAAAACTCAATCGTTATCACTATCAGTGATCCTTTAGTTATTAACAAAAAGTCGTTATTATAAAGTCTGAGTTGTATACTGTAACATGGAGCTAGTAATTCTTTTCAACTATCTGCAATCAATCAACCATCTATTTTTCTAACCATCTATTTCAGTCATTAAAGTAAACCTGCGAAATTATTCTACTTAACTAAAGTTTTCATTATCGAAGGAGAAGTGTCGTATTGAGTAATTTAGTTCATTTCCAAAGCTGTCAATCAAATGTTCACTATTGGTGCTAGACTAATTGATTAGCAGGTGTTTGTCCTTGGATCTGTCTGTCACCCTTGGATATTGTTTCTAACCACTCTTGATGCTAACTTTGCAAGATTAAGTTACTGTATTATTATCTCGGAATTAACAATTGCTCGACGACAGTTTTACTTCCTCGACAGAAGATAAACAGTAAAAAACTTTTTAAATTATTCAAAATCATTTTTGTGACTACTAAAATTCGTATGAAATTGATGAAATCAAAAAGTTTTCAAATTATTTTAGAATCAATTAAAAATGATGTTTTAGCCAGGGGCTGATTTGGGGGGGGGGGGGGGGCGGACGCTTCTCTTCAGGGATTCGACCCCCAGCCGACCCAAATGGTCCCCCCCCCTTTGTACTATTTTGATATATCCATTTTTGGGAACGGACCCTAAAGTTTTTCTAAAGGCATCTTCGGCGCCAATTCATACTAATTTTGAGGGGGGAAGCGCGCGCCGAAAAACGCGCTTTTTCAATTGGCCGAAGCAGGGTCTTTTTAGTGTTTTGGGAGAGCTCAGAAAATCAATTTGATCGACCTAAAAAAATCGAAATTTTTTTGAAAATCCTAGATCCGTCCCTGGTTTCAGCTACATTTTGTATCAAATTAAATCAAATTTGTAAGCATTTTGTAGGCATTCAAGGTTTTGTAGGCATTTGCTACCTTATTTTTATAAAATTGATTGCAATCCATTTCTTGTCACCGTTAGCTTATAACAATTAAAAACTCATAAAATATTACGGGTAAGATTTGAAAACCGATGAACAAAAATTCATAGCATTATTCTTAAATTTTAATTTTTAGTCTGGTGATGATACATTCTTTTTATCATATTTTCCCTCTGGTGCCTTCTTGAAGATCCTTTTCTCAGTCTTATGATTTGAAATTAGATGGGACAAAAATGTATCACAAAAATTTTTCCTTTGGTGCTTATAAATAACTACAAGCTGTTGAATATGAATTGTTACTGATAATTTTAGTAGAATTATAAAAACGTATTCATGAAAAAAAAACGTCTTTCGTGCATTGACTTTATTTAATATAGAGATTTGTTAGACGAAATTAGTCCAACTTTTAAAAAATGATCAGACGTTAATCTCAAAAATACAAGTGACCTTGATAATGTTTCTGTTGAGCCAAAAAAAAATAGAGCAACTCACCAGAAACATGCAGATTCCAACCATGACCATTCCGACCAGAGACGATATCCACCTAAAAATCAATTAGTAAGTTAATAAGTTTTCAAGGTCAGCTTTCAATTAAACAGACTCGCTGTATCATCATGCAGTATAAATAACATCCAAAATGAAGCAGACAAAAAAAACTGAACAGAATGGAAAAAAGAAACTGAGAAAATGTTGAGACTATATCTACCTGCCGAATTTAGTGCCCGCATATCCCCACACATAAGTGGCTACCAAGTAAGAACAGGATGGCGCTAGCCATACAGCCCCTGAAGCACACACAACAGACACAATCGAATAGGAAAAATTAAACTTTTGCAAAAAGGTGTTGAATTGTATACAAAGAAGCAAAATTCGTATAAGCTTAATTGTTGAAGTAATAATATTTATGGAAAATTTCGGGTTTTTTTTAAAGTACCATAGAGGATACTACTAACAAGATGATAGTGGCGTGCACAGGAATGTTTTTTTTTTCAGTGGTCTGGGTATTTTTCTATGAGGTCGTAGATTTTTGATTTTGGAGATTTTCGAATTTTTCTAAATGAGGTGCGGATTTTTTTTTTGTTTTATTGTTTTTTTTTGGATTGATCAACCAACAATTGCTATAGTAAAATAGTACCAAAGAAGAGTATTTCGAGACTCTTTCTAAGGTCACGCAACAAATACAATATGTTAGATGACCTTGGTATTTAAAGGAGAATTAAGGAAGAGCTCAAACAATATAAACAGTCGGAGAGAAAAACTTTCATCTAGCCTATGAGAAAATGATGAGAAGTGAAGAAAAAACTTTCTGCTAAGAGAGATGATTCTGACTAATGAACAGTGGATATAAGATTGAAGAGCTACCTTCCAAATTTGGCGTTCCAGTATGACACTACGTTTGTACTGATTAAGTACGAAACACTTGCCGGAAGAAACGCAGCACCTGGGAAACGGTACCAAATCGTTGGTTTTTATTCCAAATTCGATAAGAAGTTTGGCCGAATTTAGAAGTTACGGAAAAATTTAGCAGTTACGAAAAGCTTTTGACAGTTACCGCAATTTAGAATTATCAGACCGCGAAATTCTGTTCTTTCATAAAATTATAATTCTTGTTATAATAATTTATTTACTTTAAAAAATCTCTCTCTAACCAACACACCGCTTTTCAATTCATCACAGCAGAACCCCCCCCCCCCCCCCCACCCCCTCCAACTCGCCAATTCACTGCAGCAGAATGAATTCAATGTATTTATCTGACAAAAATTTGCTCCAAAGTTTTTGTTTCTATGTTAATGAAAATAACTCCAAAGATACTTAGCGTGAAAGCGATTCCAAAACGAAAGTTCTCACCTAGTTGCCATTTTTCAGAACTCATATTTTCCATCATCCATATCGGAAGAGTCGGCTCCAAAAGAGCAATTGCCATGTTTGCAAAAGTGATTGACCCAGCAGCCACCAGAATGTAGGGGTCACTCAGCAGTGTCTTCAGGGGGGTTCCTTCAGGTCATAAGATAGGTTACAATTGTTTTTTTTACTATTAAAGGAAAGATTTTAGAGAAATACTTGTGAAATGTTTCTGAAATGTTATTTTTATTAAATATATAATAATACTAAATGAAATTTTATTATATTTTAGTAGTGTAGATTTTAAACTTCTAAAATTAGAGTAAAGTTTAAAGCAACCTAAGTCAAAAACTACATCATGTTTTTTATTGAAAGTTCGGCTGCCTCATTGACTTTTATAAAAGTATCGAATTGATCACAGAAAGGTAAATTTATTAAACACTTTGACGGGGTGGGGAGGGATAGTTAATATTATGTAATCTATCGTCCCTTTGGGTTGGGCCTCGTTCTGCATGCCTGGACGCAGGACTATCAACTGGAGGGTTCCGTCCAGAAGTGCGACTGCTGCCAGGACTAGAAAGGGGGCTGGCTTCCCTACAAACTGGTACATGAAACCGCCGAAAGGAGGTCCGACTGAAAAGAGACAAAAGTAGTTTTGTTTTCATAACGGTTATAAAGTTCAAATAAAAAGTTCCTAAGAAAGAGGTTTTGATTTTCAAAAACTTGCGTGAGCGGAAATTTTTTTTTCAAAGTAGAGTTTTTATAGTGTTCTGGGAGCGCTCGGAAAAATCACTTTGGTCGACCTAAAAAAGTGTTGATAAAATTTTGGACAATTTTTTGAAACCAGACCCCCCACCTCCCCCCGCGAGAAAATCCTAAATCCGCCTCTGCAACTAAGGATTGAAAAATACAATGTTTTTCTGTTTATTTCTGAGGATTTATAAAATTAACGCGCTTTTCAGGATTGCAAGGAAAATGCAAAATCTAAGTCAATAGTTGCAAACTGAAAAAACATTGCAAATTTTGGCGCAAAAAATAGTTGAAAAAAAACAGGTTTAATTTGCGAATTATATCTCTTTGGCCCGAGGTGAAAAAATTCGTCAAAATGACTCACTGAGTACTCCCATGGCGATGCCGCCCAATGCCATGCCCATTGCATTACCCCTCTCTTCGTCGTCTGGGAAGTGTTGGGCGAGCATGCCCATCCCTGCCACCGAAGAACAGGAGGAGCCGATTCCCTGTAGACTTCTCGCCACCATCAGGATAGTGTAGGTCTCACCGAACGCAAACACTACAGAGCAAAAACTATAGGATAAGGAAACAAAAGAACCTAGTAACATCAACACAATTATCATTCCAACAAAATCGAATTGATAGAAAATATATATCAATTTTTCTATTTTTTGTGATAATAAAAATGGAATTTAGTTTTCCTTCAAAAATTTTATGTTTTTTTTCTATGTTTGAAGACAAATCGACTGACTATATGACATACCTTTACACTATATTAATCAAATGAGCAAGATATTTTTTAATTAAAAATTTCATTGTTGGAATGAATCTAACTTGCTAAAGAACGGGTCTGGATAGCAAAAACTTTCAATTAGTTTTTCTCATCATTAAGAGTTTTTTTCTTGAAAGTTCTTTGTGCAGGCCAAATCATGTCTCAAATGCTTTTATTATGATAACCTCGCTTTGAATTTTGAAGTGGCCAAAATGGATCATAAAAAATTCATCCTTCGTCACAAAAGCTTTCGTCACAATAGCTTTTCACATTATTTTTCGCCACGCATAAATATTTTTGCGTTACGCTTTTTAGATTCTGGATAACATCTATAAAGCGCGCATTAATTAGTCCAGAGCATGGCCAAATTGGTAATTTTCAAACTCCCAAAACGTTTCAAAAAATAATAGGATAAAAAATACCATTTTAAATTTGATTTTAGGAAGTCAATATTTTGACTGGGGCATAAAAAGTTGGGGCAATAAAAAATATACCAAGCATAAATATTCCGTTTTCTTAAAAAATCGGAACAAATAGGCATTTGAATTGGTTAATTTTTGTAAACAAAGACTTGTTGAAAGTTAAAGTGCTCAAAATGGTGGCATACTTTGCGTATAGGAACGTGTAACTTAAGACTTAAGTCCAGTAGCTAATTTACGACTAAAAATTTGAAAGCTTGCCTCAATTGAGTTCAGAAATATGGAAATCACACTTGATAAAAAATTTCTGCTTCGGTTTTCTACCAAATTTGGCCATAAAAACAACAAAACCGAGCGTAAATGGTTCGTTATTTTTAGTAAGCCTAAATTTTTAACACAGAGACAACGCAGAGTTTTGCACCTTTTGCGATACAACACAGTCATTAAAAACCATTTGTCAAAAAAAAGGAAAATTTTCACATGTTTTCAATCTAGCGTCCAGAAATTGTTATACTGATTCAGGACGATAAACTTAATTTCAGAAATTGGATTTTGTCCAAAATCTTAGTTGTTCTCTGCTAAAATGAGTGAGAAGTGTGAAAACCTTTGAGATCTTTTTTCCCATAGACATAATTTTTCCCTTACAGAAAATTAAGGAGTGGCCGCTTAAGCAGGAAAATTGAAAAAAAAAAATGCTTCAAATGAAAGGTCGTGTTCAAAAGCTTGATTTTTTTCTCCCAAAAGTAGGTTGTGGCCGGTAAAATAGGGAAGAATCCCAAAATCGGGTTTCTCGATTGAACACTTTTTCTGAAAATTGACGCGGAATTTTCGCATAAATAAAAAAAATCCAAGAAACAATTAACTTTTAAAACTTCACTTTTTTGAAAACTTTAATTTTGTTTAAGACATCTGGGTGAATTATAATTGTAGGCTACCAATAACCTGTCGCATCGATTAACCTATGGTATCAGATTTTGCAAGATATATATTATAAAAAGTCCAAAAAACGGTCAACAAATCAGATAGTTGACATTTCCGAGAATCATAGCTTTTCGATTGAAAAATTTCGGCGTATCTCTTTATACAGATGAAACTAACGCAACCTGTATTTTCTTTTGAAGCCAAAAACCCAGGCTTGGCAGTAGTTATCGAAAAAAGCCAAATGTTTCAAGGAACGGTCAAATAATTTTGACTTTTTCGAGGGCCATAATTTTTGTGTCGAACAAATTTGGGCAAAGTCTCGTACGCAAGAGCGCTTCTCACATCCCATTCTTTTGATTGAAACCTAAAGCTCAGATAGGGGAGGTTGTATTTTTTGGTAAAATTCATAAAAGTTAGAAAAAAAACGCTCAAAATTAAAAAAAAATGACTTTCGCGAGGACGATAACCTTGTGTGTAAAAAAATTCGTGAGTGGCCGCTAATGCAGAGGACTATAACATTGCCCATTATGTCCATTAAATCCTCAACTTCAAGTTTGGGAGTTAAGTTTTCTGAAAGTCAAAACGATTTTGAAAAAAAACGGCGTAAAAATTGTAATAAAGAAACCCAATGCCATATTGTTTCATATTACCTGTTTTTATCAAACAGGAAGTCCTAGGAAAATATGTCATCCCAGATATTTGAAAATCAAATCAGCAACCGAAAAAAAACGGTTACTAAGCGGTAACAATACCGATAATCTTTGAGCAGACACCAGTTGAGCCGAAAAAGGAACTGATTTTGTAAAAAACATTGAAAAATTTCAAACCCCCCGTGAAACTAGTCAATAGTAACTGGAACCCACCCAGTAGTTGAACTTAAGCAAGTACCACTTAAATTCAAAGTTCAAAATTTAACCCAGTAGTTAAATTTGAATAAGTGATTCAACTGCTATTGTTTAACTAGTTGTTAATTCGAAAAAAGTCTATATTACAATTTAATGACGCTAATCGCAAAAGCGTAAAACACTTAGTTGTCAATCAAACAGTTAAAAATTAATACAACATATACTAAAACAAGAAACACGTCCGCGTCATTTAATATTGATCTAAGCTGCTATTAGATCACTCAAGTTATTTAATCATATACATTCGATGAAAACAACATGAACTCAATTTTTTGTGTCAAAACATGAGTCATACATGATTCAAGGATTCACTCTTGACAGACTCAAAACAAGAAGAGCTGGTTGCTGTGCAAGTAGCACAGAGACAGACATTTCGACTACAAAGATTTAAAAAAAAAATTTAAATTTTTTTTTTACAAGCATGCTGCTCGCTCGCTTAATTGCTTGAAATTAGACCAATACTGGTTTTCCAACCAATTTTTGTCGACATTGAAAACACTACTTGTTATTTTTTTGACCTCGTTCGAACCACAACTAAAAAGACTTTCAAATGATATATAATTCGGCCCAGCAAAATTATATAGCGTTCGGGATATTAAGCTATAAAACAGCTTAATATCAAAACAACTTAAAAATATTAGAATTATTCGGAAATTTCGGGAAAAGGGATTTCCAGTTCCGAGTCTTTACGAATAGAGACAAACATGGCTAAAATAATAAATGTATGAAATATTTCTGTATGAATAACATGGGGGTATGATTACCCTCTCGATAATCAAACACATGTACCAAAGGTCTTGAAATGCAAATACTTGATGATCTCTTGCGAAACTGATTACAAGAAAAAAACTCGATTCTTGCTATTTCCTCGCAAGATTCTTGTAAAATTTGAATGGATCTTGTACGAGTTTGCTTTCTAATTGAAAGCTAATTGGAATTTTTTCTCTACTCACTGACAGTGGAGAGTATGAGGATGACGAAACCTCCGAACATGGGAATACTGAAGCCAATGCTGAAACAAACAAACAGAGTTGTGAGGATTCAAGTATTTTCAGTTACCGTCAAATCCCTTGAAGATGAGAAGCCGTGGTCTTTACTAATGATTTATTTAAGGTTTGTTGATAAGAATCAAATTGTGATTACTTTTCACTGCAAAACAAAATAAAATAAAACTCTGAGTTTTCAAGAAAGTTGTTCTGAATAAATCAAATTGTTATACCAAATAGCAAAAAAAAAACGATTTTAATTTGAAATCTTTAAATTTGATTCATTGACAAACCTCTGTATATTCTAAACTGTAGAACTACTTTAACGAAAAAAAATTCATAACTCACTAGTTAGTAAGCACCCCTATGAATGGGTTAGCAATCAGCTGGACCACCGCTTTGGAAGCAAACATGATCCCCACTTTCACATTTTCCTTATTCAACTGTCTGGCGTACAAAATCGAAGCAGACAGCCCTTTCTCAGATGAAGATTTCTGGGTTGAAGAGCTTGATGAAAAAGAGGCTCTTTTAGATCTTTTTAAGTGCGACAAAAACGTTGTGTTTTTTGAAGTCGTGCTTTCTTTGTCGTCTTCGTCGCTGTTTCTTCTCGACATTAATCGCTGGCTAAAGCGACTGCGTGGCTCGTTGTCAGCATTTTGTACTAATGTCATTTCAGAATTGAGAAATCTATAAAAAAGAACAAGATATAAGTTAACGTTGTTACACGTTGGAGATATATTCATGACCTTGACCTATTTAAAACATTTTTACGATCTTGACCTAATTTACCCAAAATTGTCGATGCACGGTTATTGAGTACTTAAATCGTTTCTTTCTTTTTAGGTTGGCCTTATTTTTTGAAGAGCTCGCCCAAATTGCAGAATTTTTTGTAAAGCTCAAATTTCTGAGCCGCTAGTTTTGTGAACTGTTTAAGTGAAAAAAATTCATTTACAAAATTCCAAAAATTTGGTAGTGTTAAAAGCTAACATTTCGGAAGGGTATTCGGGGAAAGTATCGTTGCTCAACTCGGCTAGTAGTCCTGCCCCGTCTGCGTGATTCTTGCTACCCCCTTGTGGCTCATACTCGGGGGAGGGAGGGGGGACGGGCATTCCATTTGGATGTTCCAGTTTGTACAGGTAGTCTGGGATGATGGGTACTGAAATAATTTTACAATTGATTTTAAAAAAGTTTAATTCTACTTCTATTTATATTGTTACTTAGTAGACTAATTTATATAGCATTGTTTCGAAAATCTATTGAAAATCTGAAATCGAAATTTCATATTTTAGCTGAAAACTATCTTCTAGAAATTTATTCGCGATAGCTCAAGAATTTTTAATGTGAAACCTTTTTGTCGAGTTTCAAAAACAATTCTCGAATATTTTGGTGTTTCGCTCTTGATTCAGTAGGTTTGAATAATCATCATGCTCGAAATAGATCGAAATACAGTTTTGTTTCAACAAAAAGAAGTTTCAAGTCCTATCTCGGATTCAAATCGCAGCTCAAATCAGTACTGCTGCACTGCTGCAAAATTATTACAGGGATGCTTAGACATTCAGAGCTGTGACATAAGTGAAACATAGACAAATCTGCTACATCTATGTTCACAGATTTAAAAGGAAGCTAATTTTCCAGTACTGAATCAGAGATAAAAAAGGTTTTGTCATCAGTTCTTCAGCGTAAAATCAGAAAAATACCTAAGAGATATTTCGTTTTTTGCTATAAGTATACCCTGTGATGTAAGTATACTCGCGCATTGACTAAACTGCGGTTGCTTGCTATTGACTATAATCGATTTTTAAACAGATTTTTAACTATTGTTTGTTATTAAACTGGATGTCATATTGGGTAAAATAGGATGTTATATAAAGATTTCATACAGTCCAGAATTAAAAACAATATTTATTGTACATAAATGGTTTTTGTTTTGTCTAAAAGAGAAAATTGAACTCAATCATGAAAACCATTGATGTAAATCAAGTTTTAAGCTCAAAACCATTGCTGAAAACTATGAAAATCAATTAAATTTATCAAACTTATGGAAAAAAATGCAAAAAAAAATCCTGGATTTCAACAATGTAGTCCAAATTAAGCACCAAAATTGCTATAATAATTTAAAAACATTCAAGGTAAATTAAAATTAAAATTAAATTTGTGGTTAAAATTATGTTATAAGTAGGGCAACTATAACTGCTATTATTGCTATTCGGTCAATTTGTCAATTTCACCACAAACTGCTATAAATGCTACTTCTGCTATGTAAAAGGTCATTTTTTGGTCTGTCTCAGGAATTTTTTGCCTAATACCTACATTTTTGAGACATGAAAGTTCACACGTGAAGCTTTTCAGATATTTCTGAGAAATACGTGTGCGGGTAAGCAACGTATTTGACCATTGCTGTGACACGGATGTGCAGAGAGTAGTTCTTGGGTTTCAAGACGATCGGCTCCTGGTTGCAAGCGCGAAGTCGGCGGTTTCTGATGAGCGAGTTGAAAACTACTTTATGTGTTATGCGAATTTAAACTTTTGTTGAACTCGATATTTCTACATGAATGTTTTTTGGTCATCTTTTGAAGGTTTAAAGTCAATTTAGGGCCATTTTAAGGTCAATTCAATAGCGCTAAAAGTGACGTTTTAAAGTCAATTTTGTTGTTGCCCTAGTTATAATGAGTCATGCATATAGCAGTTCATATAATGGGGTGGTTGCCCGAGTCATGCATATAGCCAGTGGAAATCAAAATGAGCCCTTAAACGAAACTCTCAAAAATCATCAGCAGAAATCAGTATTAATACAAAAAAGTTAAAAGACAGTTTAGTGTAAAAATTAAAAAAAAAACACTATGACTGGAATCTTCAAATTAATCAACTGTCTAATCTCTGCCAAAATCACAAAATGTAAAATTTAACATTCAGACTTCTTGAGTCACTTGAAACTCAGACGGAAAAGAAATTTTCTATAGCCTTAATAGGTTTGAAATATTTTATAGATCTTATTGTTCCGATTTCGATACGAAAGTGACGGAATATTTGTGCTCGGGGTGGGTTTTTTTTTCTTCAGAAAAATTTCGACTTTTTAACTTTTTAACTAGCCATTTTTGACGGAATTTTTTTTCATCATTCGAAAGGTATTGTTGTCCTGAGCTCAAATTTGAAAAGATATTTTACCTGTGATCATTTTTGTTTAAGTTACGGGGGTTTAAAGATTGCCATTTTGGCCAATTTGGGACAATTAACGCGCGATATATTTCGCGCTATTAACGCGTAAGCGGAGAGTTAATCCGCCTTAGAAATCGTCCCAAATTGGTTAAAAGAAGTTTATGTGCCATAATTGGTTTGTTACAAGGAGCGAAATCTATCTTTTTGTACTTTATATGGCGTGTGGGGGGATGATTTTCATAAAAAATTTCAAATCTTAGAAATTTTTTTATTTTGTTTTATTTCATTGAATTTTTTAATGTTATTACTGCTCCATAAACCTCAAAAGGCAGTCGGAACATTCAGGGTTTCGCCCTGATACGAGCAGTCTTGTTCAATTTTATAGATACATTGACTTTTTAAGGAGAAAATTTTGTGTTTATAGTAAGCATGTAAATTTTATGTGTATAGTAGATTTAGAGCAGGTTTAATTCCGCCCCATTTGAAAAAATTAAAGTAAAACACGGTAATACTTTCGATCAGATTTTGGAATCTAATAAAATTGAAACTTTAGAAAAAGTTCATTTGAAATTCATTCAAAGAATTGACTCTAATTTTCATAATATAAGTATTTCAATATTCTTCGGTGAATCTAATTATTCTGCGTGTCAACTCTGCGTGTCAAATTTTTTACCGTGCAAAAAAGTTGCAGCTGAGTACTTGTAGCTGTTTAAGTAGTTGAAAAAGTGTTGCCTTTTTTTAAATGCACTTGATGTAAGTAGAAAATATATGTAAACATAAAAAAGGGAAAAATCAAGAAAAAATCTTAGTTTTCAATGAATTTTTTCTTATTTTTCAAATATAGTTTTGAACAAACATATTGCCACTGGGTGCAGGATGAGATTTCATATTAAAACTATCAGATGAATCACTAGTCAATCAAAGTCCAGAACAAAAATTTAGTCTTCTTTACTGCTTTAATTTTTTTGTTCCAACCAATGAAAATGAAGAGAAAAAACGTTTTCGTCGTGCTTAAGTTTTGTTCCACGCAGCATTAGGTAGCATAAAAGGTAATTGGATTATGACGGGTGATAAATCACATTAGATATCTTTCAAGCGTGATTTGAACAGCATTTAAACATTTTAAACAAATTGTCCCAGTGTTGAGAAAATCAGGTGTAAAATATTCTTTTTAGTCTAATTTCGAGCAAATAAAGCGAGTAAGTTTGCTTACAATTTGTTTATTATAATTAATTCAAGCCGTTAAAATTCAGTTTGAAATTATGTTTGAAATCTATTTTTTTAGAGTTTTTTTCTAGTCATTTTTCGACAGAAATATTGTCATTTTGTCTATTTTATTCTGATTGTCGATATGCTTAAATTCTAGTTTTTGTTCCGACTTTCGATACGAAAGTAACGGAATATTTGTGCTCGGGGTGGGTTTTTTTCTTCGGACAAATTTCGACTTTTTAACTAGCCATTTTTGACGGATTTTTTTAATATCATTCGAAAGGTATTGTTGTCCTGAGCTCAAATTTGAAAAGATATTTCACCTGTGATCATTTTTTGTAAAGCTATGAGGGTTTAAAGATTGCCATTTTCGCGTAAGCGGAGAGTTAATCCGTCTTAGAAATCGTTCCAAGTTGGTTAAAAGAAGCTTATTTGCCATAATTGGTTTGTTACAAGGAGCGAAATCTATCCTTTTGTACTTTATATGGCGTGTGGGGGGATGATTTTCATTTAAAAAATTTCAAAGTTTTTGAAAAAAAAATTTTAATTTTAATTTATTACTTTAAATTTTTTAATGATATTACTGCTCCAAAAACCTTAATGGGCAGTCGGAACATTCAAGGCTTCGAGCAGTCCCTGATACGAGCAGTCTTGTTTGTTTAAGACACTAATTTGAAAAAGGTTTTTGTATTTTTGGCTAATCTATGGTCGGAATAATCTAGGATACTTGCACAGAAATGGGCTATCTTGGCTATATTTTGATTCTTCTTATTGTCATACCGTTAAAAAAGGGTCGTAAAAGCAAATTAATGAAACCATTTTTTCAGGAAAATTTGTATGGAAAAAATAACTACTGTCCGAACCAGATGAGTTGGGACGGAAGGTCTAACTCATAGAGTAATTTCAGATAAGGTACACCGTCTGCTCGTCACGTTATCTTATTTTCGGCCGGATAGATTCGTGCAACTTCTTAGTCTAATACCGATCTTAATCTTACTCTTATATTTCAGAGTATACTGGTTTTTTACAAGTTGGTCTCTTGGAAGAAGCAACTAAGTCGTAAGTTAAATTCAGAATGCTCTGGTGCTGAAATTACAAGTAATTTCAGCACTTACAAATAAATGGGTTGTTAGTTTGATGGATCATGATTGGTTAGTATTAAATATTTTATAGTGATAAAATATTCAATAATAAAATATAGTTTAGATCTGGTTCCACATGCCTAAAACCCCTTGATATTGTGGAAATTGGGCTTGCATGAAAAAAAAAATCAAAATCAAAGTTCCATCACGCTGACAGTGCCCGGAATAGCATAAAAATTTAAATGAAACACCTGATAATGAAAATTATGTTCCAAACCAAGAAAAACTTTGAATTTTTTTTTCTTCTGAGCCAATTCTTTTCCGAGCTGATGATGGTTTAAATTAAATTTAAATACTCGAATTAACTTAATTGCTCCGAAATTGACAAGTTAAATGAATTCTTTTTATACTAAAAACTATGCTTCCCTGAGCTCAAAAAAATATTCAGCTTCATTCAACCAACATTGAACATATTTGATGATAAAATTTATTTGACACTTTATCTGCATGATTAGATAATTATTCAAGCTTGGCATTTTTGCGGCAAGATAACAATTTTATGATCTATATTTTCATATCTTGAAATGTGAGATCGGCTCGAATACATCCCTATTCACTAAGCTTTAAAAATATATATAAAAAAACTCACATTAAACATTTTTTGAAATTAGGAAAAAAATTTAAAAATTTTTTAAAAAAAAGTTTTTTTGTTCTCTTAAGCTGCAGGCGTCCAGCTCTAATCAAAACTACAGTTGAACAATCAATCTGAAAAATTACAGTTTTCAAAAAATCATGCTTCAGTCATTAACTTCAGAAATAAATATAACTACAATCTAAAAATGAGATAAGTTTTTTTAGAAAGATCTTGATGGGAGAAGAGTCAAATCAGAGTCGAATGTCAAAGGTCAATGGTCAAATTGGGGTCAAAAACCGATTGATATCAGGACACAAATAAGCTTACCAATGTGAGCATTCGCATGACAGAAGGATCCAAGCGCGAAAATATCTACCTTTCATGTTTTGAATACAGAATTCTGATTGGATGACATAGAAGTTTGGTTCTTCTATTAAGAGGAAATCTTCCGAGCTTACCTATACTGGTCAGCAGCATGTTGTCAAGGAGAAGCGCGATGAACACTATAAAAATTAGCAGTTTCCGGGAGCCTCTCATTTTATCCAGAATCGGACCCATTTTCTCCCGGGCCACGAAGTCTTGCGCCGATGCAAAAAACACTCCCCCAGTTGTCGATTGATAATTGTTTTGAAATGAATCGCCCGTTCTAGAGTCGTGCTCGAAAGTGTTGTTCAGTAGTAGATCTGCAGGCCTCGATGTGAAATTGTTATTGCAGTTTTGGTAGGAATTACTACTCGCAGCTGGACGAAACTGGTTTGGAGATGGCTGTAAATCTATATTTACTATGTCTGTTTGGTGGTAAAATGGGTTTGTTGATGACGAAAGCGGTGTGTTTGTAGGTGCTTGCGGCGTATAAGGGGCGAGGTGATTTTGGCTCGGGGGGTGATTTTGGACGGTGGGATTAGGACGAGGGGGGACCAATGATGACTCAGTTCGACTCTCCTCCCTTACTGGTCTGGGTACTGAAGGTGGGTGGGGGTGAAACATGCTGCAGTCGGAAGATGTCACGTGCACAATAGTAGTTCAGTCGGTTGGGTTTGATTTTGGGCCCGGTTAGGTCGGGTGAGACTAGAAGGTCAGTTAGCACTAAACAGTAAAGCAGAGATATAAGTTATGGCTACACATAATTAATAGCTAGTTATAAATTTAACTTGTTGCTGCATCATATCTATCATCCGTTCCGTCATCTAATTATTGCCTTTTTTGAGAATATTCAATGATTGTATTAATTTTGACAATAGATTTTGATGTGGAACGTAAAATAAAGAAATCGGGTCAAAAAATAAATAAACTGACAAATTACAAAAATCGGGTCTTTTTAATTGCACTCAACTTGATTTATTCTTACCCTATTAAATTTAGAGGCACTTTTTACCCAATTGTCATTACGGGTCTATGAGATGTTTATGACGAAAACATGTGAAGGAAGAAATGAACAAACAAAATTTATGGGGGATGAAATTTGTGCAGACTTTTCTTTTTTTACCTACCGATGCACGTGAGTAACATGTTGTCTAGCAGTAATGCAACTAGCACCATGAAAACGAGTACACGCTTGTCGCCCCTTAGCCCCGCCCCCACCCCCTGCAAAGAGGCGAGGAAGGCGTAGCATTGGGGGAAGTTTCCTTTAGGAGCGGCATAGGAGGCTCTGCTCTCTATGCTCATGGCCTGCAAAAACCTCACTTGTATTATTTATGGGAGAACACAATTTAAACTAGAAGCCTGAAATTTAAAATAAGTAGATCTAAACAAAAACAGCATTTGGGGCAATTTGACACTTTATCGCCAATATATCTCAAGTAGCGCTTTTTTGGGAGGGGGTGGGCTTCTTCTTTATTCAAAGGGACCTTCCTTTAATCGATTCTACGACATCCAGTTTCGGCCGACAGAACCAAAAGTTTTCTAAAAACAATTTTGGTGCCAATACATTGAGGGGCAAGCGCTCAAAAAAAAAATTTTCCTTTTAAAATCTAAAATCTTCAAAAAGTGCCCAAAACGGCATTTTCAGCCGTTTTTTGTTCAACAAATAGGCGTTTTCAAGTGCTTTCGAAGAGCTCGGAAAAATAATTCGTTCAACCTAGATGTCATCCGGTCTGGATCGACAAACTATCCTTATATGTATGTTATTTATATTATTAACAATCTTATGTTTAACGCCTAGATGGCTGGTCACATGACCTTGGTAGACAGAGAGAACGAACTCTAACTGCAATAAGAAAAGAGAGTTGAATAAATGTTATCTGTCAACTAGTCGTTTCTTTCGCTCCGACTTAGAATTAAAGGTTTATCGATCCATTCGGATTCAAGTATTAGAACATCATACCCTCCGGTATGACACTAAAAAAAAGATTGACAAAATTTAAAAAATCCCCCTCACTTGAAAAATCATAGACCCGCCGGGTGAAATGATGACATAAATCCTGATTCTATAAACCGTGATTCTGCAACTGTGGTTTCCCGAGTGTCATTCCTTGAACTCAAATTCTGGAAACCTTAGTAGGTAACTTAAAAAAGCTTCTAATTTCGAAATTTAAAAAACGCAATTTGAATTTTTTTGTAAACATTTAGCTCATATTTGAAAACACATATTGATAAGGGGACAAAAACATGACGCGACATAAAAAAAATTATTTCCTGGATTATCCAACATATTCAGAATTCAAGAGAAAAAATGCGCGCAACGCTTATATTTTTTCTTCGGTTGCAATCTCGAGCTTGTCACTGTTAATTTTTTGGCCGGGCGAGACCAAAATTTCTTGGCTTCTGCCGGTCGCCGACGCATTTCTTTGGCACAAAGCGGTTGCGATATAAACTTAATTAGGGAAAAATTGCGGACAATAGATTGGAAGTAAAACAGCCATCGCTACACAAGTTAGGCCGTTAAAACCTCAAAAAATATTTTTTAAAAAGCCTGTTTTGCTAACTTTGCGTCAAATTGGGGGATTTCTTTTCCCCCTTTTGGCACTTGATAGAACAAATCTTATCCCTATAAAAGATTCTTTGAAATTAACCTTCAGATTTCGTTTCGTACTAAATAATTTCATACAATCAGATTGAAGTATTATCATCCGGTTCTGCAAGGAACCAGAAATTGAAAAGAACCAATTTTGACTGTTCAACAGCAAAAAAAAATCCAATAAAATGTTGTTTTATTATGTATATTTGAAAAAAAAATTGAATACTCATACATCATCTATGCGGAAAACTCATTTATATTAGTTTTGTTAAATAAAATGGATAGATTTGACAAAAAATGAATTGAAAAGCGCAGCTTTTGCTGAAGTTCTGAATCACGCTTTTAAAATCAAACATGCTTCAATTTTAGCTTATTCCAGAACGCATCAAAACTTAAGGGGCAAGTGTTTATTCAGGAGAAGATCAGTTTGAACAGATAAGATCTGGAAGTATTTTGATTTCAAAGAGGAGATAGAGGGGACCTAATGCATCTGATAGTTGTTTACTTTGTCATTGAAAAAAAATCGGGAAAAATAAATATTCGATAGAAACCATTTATTTCATTAATGGAGAAAAATGAGATTGCGGTGATGACTTTTTTTGTAAAATTTTGTCTCATTTGTGCATTGAAAAGTGTCAGAATTTTTTCAGACTTCATATGAATGTTGGCAAAACTTTAAACATAAGTTCATAAATTTAGAGAAAAGTCGACGAAATTTCACAAAACCAGTTTTTGTCTCAAGCAGTTTTTGTTTCGATCATTTTTTTATTGCATTTTCAAGTTATTTTTGGCCAATTCTTAGCTTCAATTGATATTTGATTTTAAAAAAGATTGTGCCTTACTTTGGACAATCTTGTTCCCGCAATGAGATTCAATGACAAATAATCTATTCTTATTCATTTTCATAATCTGCCTTCACAAATTTCTAGTAATAATCGATTAGAATGGGTCAATAATCAGTTTAAAAAACCAATAATGAAGATATCACCTTAATCCATTGCAGTCTATTATAACGGAGTAAAATGAGATATAATAGGTTTTTATGAGTAAGAGCCTGGAAAAAACTTGAAAGTAAATATTCGAAACTTGAACGTTGCAATCGCTAAATTTAGTTTTACTTTTGACTACAGCGGTAAATTGTGTTGTTTTAAAAAAAGTTTCCTTTTTGTTTTCCCTTCCGCTAAACACTTCACACAAACTCCCACCATTCTTACTTCCTTCACTTACCAACACCTTCACTCCACGCTTACTCTTTACCTAAATTTACCATAAAATTACGTAAAAGCATTGTAAACGCGTGACCCCCCCCCCCCTGCAGCTTTTACGTCACCTCCCCAAAAAAGAAAATCTTACGGGGGGTAGGTATTTGTGGAGGTACGGGAGGTGGGGGATGTAGGCGGATGGAGTGAGGGTAGGTGGAGTGAGGGTAGATTGGAGTAGGTGTGGGTGAATGTAGGGTAATCTGGAGATAGGCGGTGGTGAGGGTGGGTGGGGTGGGGTGGGGTAGGTGTGTGAGGGTAGGTTGGGTGGTGTTTACGCAGGGGGGGGGGGCTGGGGAGGTAGGGTAGATGGGGGGTAGTCGGTGGGGGTGAGGGTAGGTGGGTTGGGGTGGAGGTAGGTGTGCATAAACTTGGGCGTGTTCAACTTGGGTGATGAAATTGAGAAAAACTGGATTTGAACGATATGGTTTGGCAAAACTTGAATAAATGTGAAAAAACTTAGTAGTCGAAAATACTGTGAGTATTGCAGGAAAAACAGTATTCCAATATAGGATTTAAACGGATCATAATTGAATCAATTTCTCCAAATAAAATTGAATATAATTGATTATAATCACAAATCGATTGCTGCGAGGGGCTCTTTTTTTCCAACCACCCGATTGACATGAAAATGGACATGCAGACTACTCAGGCCATGTAAGTATTTTTGGTCTGATAATCAACCTTGATAAAACACTCGTTACACCATAAAATTGATGCTCGTGTGTGTTGGGGAGAAAGAAAAAAGAGCCCAGTGATGTCCCAAAGTGCAAGGATAATTGATAATTGTTGTGATTCGCATTTTATCTTGGATCTATTGCGAACTTTACTTAACTAAATTAGTTAGCAGGTCACTTACATATGACCTTCACTTGCCATTCTCTCCGGCGGACACAATGATCTCTCTCACTTATTATTGTTTTAATTTTAGACTAATTCACTTTTATTATTTTATTCTTTTAATTGTATAACTTAGAATTAGCTACAACAAAGTAACATTTTATCATGGCGCAGTCAAATAACGAAACTAACGTGAGAAGAATACCTCCATTTTGGCAAAAACATACGGTAGATCCCCCCATTCCCTGGAAAGATTGGAGCGATCGCTAAAGAAAATATAGACATCGGAAACCTACTAAATCCTCAGAGAGACATCATCCTCAACCTCCAAATTTGGAAAATCCGTTGGACGGCGAAACGGAAAACCAAAGAAAGTCGAGATTGGACAGAAACGTTCAAAAACAAAGACGCTACGACAAAGAAGAATCAGCTTCCATTAAATCAGAAACCAAGAAATTCAATGGAATGCGACTAGAGGAAGCAGATAAAAAAATTACGATCAGTCTTGTACCTGGCCTTAGGAAATGAAGGAAAAAGAATCTTCGGACAAAATTTTTTAAAGGTAAAAATCTTGCAAATTTCATTTAAAGAAATTTGGGATTTCCTAGCAATCGCCTTTGTAAGAAAGACAAAAGTCACATTTGAGCGACCAAAATTGCTAATCCGAAAACAACGTGATAGAGAATCTCTTGAACAATTTTGGGGTGCCTTAGCAGAAATGGCTAAAAAGTGTGACATAACCGCGGGAGAAGAAGAGTGGATTAGAGATATTTTCATAAACAACATGAAAACTACGATATCCAAAGGAAACCTTTAAAAGAAACTCTTCCACCACGAAGAGCACTAAACGTAGCACTCATCGATGAAAAGGGAATTTTAAACAACTTAAAATTCACAAACAATTCTAAATCCAACGGATCATCTGTACATAAACCGCACAGCCATTTCACTGTAAAAAGAGAGCCAACTCTCAATATAGAAAAAAGCAACACCTGTATGAAGTGCGGCGGAACCTTCTCAAAAGGACACCT